ATTAAAAGGAAAGTAGGATGAGTGGGTGGTGAGTTAGTTTAACACTTCAAAAAATGCAAACCTACCTTATCACCCATGAAAGATTTTGCAAACTCATCAAAAGCCTCAATTCTTCCAGCCTTTAAAAAACATGTAAAAATTTAACATCCCATATTTTAATGTGACTAATGTGAATTTTCCTGCTTTCTGATTGGTCTAGAGTCAGGGGAAATAGGAGGACGTACCGATAAATTACGTCAGCAAATCACACCCGTGCTTGAAAAAGTTTTTCTTTCAAATTTCCCCCTTGTTTTCATAGGAAAATCATTAATTTTCTGTGGTAAAAAAACAATTACCTCCAGTTTGCTTGGGAGATGGGAGATGGTTAGTATGAAATGTAGGCACTGAGGGTGGTCACTGCAAGGGTTTTTTTTTTTTTTTTTTTACGTCCTAGTGGGTCTTTTATGTCCCTCCAATATTGGATAGTAATAAAAAAGTGTGGAGAGACGACACCATTATTTAAAGTGGGCATCGGTGCCATCAGTTATTTTAAGACCCTGAGGGATGGTCTGGCCAAGGTTTGAACCATAACCTCCCCCACAAGACTTAGCCTGCGTGCAGCCTAACTAACTGTTAAGTCCGAGAGAAAGGTCCAGCTGCACACAGGCTAACAAGACTCTGATATTCAATTAACTGAGCCAATCAGTTGTCAGTTATCATACAAATGAACATAAGGGTGTTACATATTTCAGCCCCCTTGCTAGTATGAGTTTCTGTTATAAGGATACAACTCAAACAATGAATCTTATTCTCAAGAGAATGACACATGGTCTGAAATGGAAAAACTGTATTGCACCCAAGATAAAGATTTAAAATTTCCAATTTAAACRCTATATGTTTATACTAATCAATAATAATTATTAATAAGTTATAATTGATAATATTAAAGATCACCTCGGAATTGAGTCCACCACCAGACTTTCGTTTTGTTCCACACTTTTCATTCATAAACTGAATGAAGTCTTCCTCACTTCTTCCACCAGAATACTACAAAGAAGAAGAAGAAGAAGAGYGTTACCAATAATTGCTCAAGGGATTATGCTTGATCACAATCAGCACGAAAATATGTGTAAAATATATAAATAAATAAACAAACAAATAAACAAACAAACAAATAAATAAATACTCAAATAAACCACTGTGTTTCAATTCTTCATGCACCACAAGCAGGGATAAATGCTGTTCAATGTTTGATGACCAGACAAGATGACTGGACACATCAGATGGACCAGCATGTGACCAGTCAATGTGACCAGTCAATGTGACCAGTCAAGAGAACAGGTCAAGTTTTACGAACTTGGCACATACATTAGCCACTAATGTTTTGGTTTACATTACTCGTGCCATTCTTATAGTGCCGAATTCTTGTAACAAGAAATTAATGGAGGATGAAAATAAATTGTAAAATTTTGGTTCTTTGCTTAAGAATATCARAAAGATATTTCAGTGAGTGGTTCTTAATGCATTCAAGATTATTTCAGCAAAGTTCCAGCTCGAATGAAAGAGTTTTAATTTTGGAGCGATTTTCGTCCAAGTGCCCCTTTAATCTAAATGAGACTCTTTTGTCTGGATTACTTCCATGGGTCTTACCTCTTCTCCATCTTTGTTTGTCTTTGAGAAGAATTTAATGGTAGGGAACCCACTGACACCATACCTATGGAATGACAGAGATTAATTAAACAAAACGATATTGTTAAGCAAAACAAAAAGAATTGGAAAAAATTCAGACTAGCAAATATRATAAACACAGTTATTTCAAAAAAGGGTGGTGAGGTTTTTGTTGCATGKTGGATACATGTTGGATACCAAGCTCCAACTGCAACTATGGGTGATGTGAATTCAACAAGCAGTAGATAACAATAATATGAAATTTCCATAAACTTTATGTGTACTTTTTTCCAGCATATTTTCTTCTGTACTGACATTATTTGGTCTCCGTATGGTTTGAACAACTGAGGGACAGGTGGATTGATGTCGGTTGGTGGGTGGGTGGGTGGGCGGATGGATACATTATTTATACATATTTTGTAGCTGAAGAAATTATAGAAGGCACAAAACAAAAACAGTCTTACTTCTCTCCAAGTTCTCTGTGAGAATCAGCATCAACTTTTGCAATCACACACTACATGGAATAAAACGTATGTCAAGTACTGCTACTGTTTTTATTGCTACACACTGATATAGACAAACTCTTGCTCAAGGTTGATGGATAATAGACAACTGTTATCATATCAACACAGGAAAATAYGTGAGCTTATAACCAGAATTAAATTTGCATTTGCAGACTAGAGGGTTTCCAATTAGGGGGATTTAATGGTACTTTAATAATAAAAGTAATCAAATAAGAATACTTTTATTATTGTTATTTTAATAGAGTGCAAACAATATAACCGTGAAACTTTAGTAATACTAAATAGCACAATTTCATGCAAATTCCATTGTTTTCTATTGTTTAATTAGCACTATTTTGCACTATTTAGTAATAAGTGTTTCACGGATTAATTGTTTGTACTCTATTTAATGAGGGTAGCACAGTATATTATAAACAACTGATAATCCAATAGCCCTCAAAATAATTAAAAGAAATACACCTACTTTCAAGAATGTTGTCATACAATATTAGAACATTAGTAATTTAGTGAGAAATGAATACATTAAAAGACAAAAGAAAAAGTTCAGCTTCAGTGATCTTCTTTTGTTTTTTAAATAATTCCTATCCCACTAAATCACTAATGTTCTGTTTTCGTATGACAAGTTCTTGCAAGTAGGTGTATATAAAAATGTGATATATAAATTTAACTAATAAAACTATTATTATGAATATGTACCATGGCAATACTTACATTTGGTTCATTCTTGAATGTTTTGCCGACCTTCTCATAGACTGGTGCAAGGTTCTTACAGTGTCCACACCCTACAAAATAAATGGTGGCCTTATTATAGATTCACATATCCTTGAGTTTTTTTAAGTACTTCAATGAACTCTAAGATCATGTTTAGTCAGGACTAAAACCATGTTTTGCAGTGTGGTTACTATAACCAGTGTCACCTAGACAGTGAGAACCAATCAAATTGTAGAATGAGAACAATACACTCCAGCTTTGAGTAGTGGAGCCAATCAGAAAGCAGCAAGAAACCAATAGCCTTTCAACATATCCTTTTATTCCCAAATGATGATGGCTATTTACATGTAGTTGTTTACATGCAACATCAGGGTCAAATTACCATTCTCGTGCAGTCTAGGTTTCTGATTGGCTCCACTACCCAAAGTTGAAATACATTGTTTTCATTCTACATTTTAATTGGTTCTCTTGTTTAACTGGTGTAAGTGGCCCTACTTACAGTAGTTGCACTGTAAGACACTACTTACTCATATGAAAGGGATTGCGGTACTTTAATAGTTCAGCTGACTTGTGTCAGTCACTAATCACCTGACTGTCAGCCATGCATTAGCCAAGAGTTGACAGACTATCATTTGTGACTAGCAGTCAGGCAATGTACTGCCAACCCATGGCCGATAGTCTGCAACAATGCTTGACCAATGCACGGCCAACAGTTGACTGATACATGTCGGCTGGTCATAGTTTGTCAATATTACTCACAAGGAGCATAGAATTCAACAATGACATCTTTGTTTGCATCTTTGATTACTTTGTCAAAGTTAGACGTATCCAAGGTTATTACATCCTCCTTGACAACTGGAATTCTTGCTTTAACACCTAAAAATGATTAATCTGTCAATATATGATGATTATAATAATTTACTTTACTTAGAAAAAGTGAAAGAAGACAGTCATAATTTAGCAACCTCATTTGTTAACCTCATACTTGTTCTCTTAGTTAGTCATTAATAATTAATAGTAGTAGTTATAATAGTCATACAAATTTCTATTTAACTTATTGTAAATTTATACATTCATCTTAAAATGTAGCCCAGTCCCTATTATAGTATATCTAATGATTTCATAAAACATTTTTTGCTACTTGTTAATACATTGTAATTCATTTTTATGCCATTACGTGTGATTAAACTTTCATGATATTATTATTATCATTATAGCAATGATAAATTTTTGGCTCTCTTATGTTTAATCTCGCAGGGACCTTGAGTCTGTTTGCCTGCACCTCATCACACTTGTTTGCTTTTGTATCTACCGTTTTTTTTTTTTGTTCTCCTTTGTAAGTCAAGCATGATGAAAGCCTCTAAATAAATCTCTATGAATGAGATGGGGATTGCCATTCTACATTGTCATCAGAGCCATGGTGAAGGCCTAACCATAATTTTCAGGGACGGCGGAGCAGTTTTTTGATTGGGGGGGCTCAATAGTGATATCATATGGCAAGGTGGGGGGATTGAGTTTAGTGAAAATGTATTAAAGTTTCACAAAAAGTGGGCCCCCCCAGTTCCGCCGTCCCTGATTTCATAGATATTTTTAGAGCAAAGGCAGAACATCAAGACCCCGATTGTTGGTCTAGCTGTGGATTGAACCCATGACCTCCTGCACAACAGGCTGGTGCCCAACTGAAGAAACTATCAATCTTCAAACAGTGATGGTCTAAATAAAGGTAAATCCTATGCTAAAATAATGGTATTTCATCAAGGATAACATTGTGTCATACTAAGGCAAAGTGTGACAAAATTAATCCTACGCTACATGTAGCTGCAAATTTGAAAGTGGTCTAAAGGTGACAACAGAGGGCACAACTTTGCGGCAAGAAATAAAAATGATACTGAATAAAACATTACCAGTTTTTCCTTCTATGAAGCTGGCAAAATCTTTAAGATCTCTTCCTCCATTATACCTTAAAGTAAGACAAAATCAAAAATTAAGTATTGGCAAAAGCAAAAAATAAATAAACCAATAGTAACTGTAGATTATTCCCTTACTCGCTAGCGGTGGTGCTTCCTTTTTCAAAATACTTGATAGTAGGATATCCACTGACTCCAAATCTTGACGCCAAGTCTTTGTGAGCATCTGCATCCACTTTAACAATCTTAACATCTTTGGTGTGCGGATATGACTCCCCTAGCTGTTCATAAGTTGGAGCGAGACTCTTGCAATGACCACACCCTAAAGAATAATTAGTAGAATTTCATAATTATGAAATTTTGCATGTGGTGTGTGCAGTTATAAAGCATGTTGGGATAGACATTATTTGTCATAGTGCAATGTTTTCCCATTTCAGGCCACGTCATTCTTTGGAGTATTATTTCTTTGTTTAACGGTTGTGCATGTGAAGACATATGAATACGGATACAACTCAAACRATGAATCTTAGTGCTCTTTCCATTAAGTTGAACCAACCAGACCAAGCAGTCAGTTATCAAATGGTACACTATGTGTCAGTTCTTATTAGCTTTAAGAACTTGGTCAACCAATTCTATACAACTTACGTACCATTTGAGAACTGGACTCTCAGACTTCTCGGTTCAAGCTCAATAGAAAGTGCCCTTATTCTCTAAGGAATAACATATGGTCTCTAATGGGAAAAYGAATACGAATGGGAAATGGGAAATGCATGCATGTGTAAATCTTATTATCTTATGTGTGATATTTATTAGTTTTTTATCATGTTAATTATATTTTATTGATAATTATTATAATATTATTTCTACCACATAATGAACCTTACTCAAATTCACTTTTGGTGACCATACGACCACAAAAAAATGGCTTAAATTTGAAGTCAAACTTCATGTTTTTTTAAATTAACAAGTCAAATCTTTAGATGGAACCATTTTTTCATGTTTATCTGGAGTAACATTGAACAAGGTTGAATCAATTTTTCACTTTTAATTTAAAACCGAATTCAAAAAATATGGAAGACAAGAAACAAAGGTCTCACAAGAAAGGCTTATTTCTTTCTAAAAATGCCTCTTTGATTAATTTTTCATATTGCTTATATTATATTATTGCTGGCATTCAGTCTCGCATTACAAAAAAGAGTACCTGTATGAATACAAGCCATACCTGTTTCAATAACTTCAATTAATATCAGGCACGTTTATTAGGTTCATTTAGTTTGAATATTTGAACTAGCAAGCAACTATTTAAATACTAATTAAGGATGGTGGGTACAGTTCGCGACCCATTTTYATTTAAATGAAACTGTGTCAGTTATTTAGAGTACCCAAGGGGCTATCTAAAAATGAGAAAAAATTGGGGGGTCCCCACGCATCCAAGCGAGATAATTGTCATTAAAGATCCGATGACGTAAGCGCATTTTGAAGCACTTCAAAAAATCACATATCCCTTGTGTTTGGCTTAAGTACATCGAAATCTTGTCTAAAATAATCTTAAACATGAATATTTTTCATATTGATAAAAAGATTTGAAGTTGCRAAGGTGAAAGTACATTTTTTTTCTGCTTTTGCGCAAAAATAGGTGAAATTTCAATTTTGGACAAAAACACAACATCAAAAAAGAAACTACTCAGAATTATTTTTATTTTTGAAATAGTACATTCAAAATTATCTTAAGTGTTTACAAAACATACCAAGCAAATAAAAAACTGGGGTCACCATGCGTTTTTTGGAGTTATAATTTTTTGAATATCAGATTTCAAGCTTTTTTCCAGCGATGGTTACAAATTTCCTCCACCCCTCCCCTGAGAGACGTGGTTGAGCAATGCATTATGGGATGGTAAACATGGCGGACTACTGCAAGAACTACTGGAAGAAAACGGTCACTAAATTGTTCTAGAGAATGCAATAAGAAAACCTYGTAGGGATAACTGAGAATAGAATGAAGACTCAAGATTTTCATAGAAGAAACTAAGTGAGTTTTTCCCGAGCGAACGGAGTTCAAAACTTCGTATTCGCATTGAATGTAAAACAAACTACCAAGTCCAAACTTTTTTTCGTCGATCAATTTGTGAAGTTTAAGTGCCTCTTTACATTCAATAAACCCTCTTTCTAACTACTCCATCAGGTAATCTAACTCAATAATTCGCCTTCCTTCAATTAATATTTTGTGTTTTTWCAAGTTTCTCCGCCGCTTGATCTTTTTCGTCTAGTTTTTGTCTTCACCGGTACTCTATTTCTAACAAATCTACCATCTTCTCATCGTTTTCTCCTTTTCACAACATTCATTTTCATTTTCATAGTACAATTAAACTATCCCATACAGACACCCATGAAAAAATTGCTATTTAAAAAAAAAAAAAAAATGATTACAACAATGATCACGCATTTATTTTGTTTTGTTGTTTATATTTTTGAAAACATTGGAGTTCCTGTGGATTACGTAATGTGCGCAGTAAAAGTGCGCACTGACAACTGTACCCACCATCCTTAACTGAAAATCTTGATCAAACAAATATTTTAACATAACTCAAAATGGAAAAAAAATATATCCAAAAGTGCCTAAAAATGTTTTGAAAGTACATTAAGATAATATTAGTATAATAAATATATATTTTGAATACTATATTTATGCATGTACAACCATTTGGGATTTTTAGAAGGATTGAAGCTGACAGCAAAGCTTATAATAGAGTAAATAACATCATTTCAAACTTACAAGGTGCAAAAAATTCAGCTAAAACAAAGGCATCTCCATTAACAACCTAGAAAATAAGTTAATCAGATGAAGTCTTAATGAATTAATCATAAACTCTATTGACGTGGCATGGAATAAGTGAAGCAGAGAACTTCATTAATAATAAAGTTGGATCCACAAGTCTTGTTTGTATTGGCTACAAACTCTATAGTTTTGGGGAGAATTTCATATGCTTAAAAATGTGAAAAATTGAAGAAAAAGCTTCTTTAGGTAAGGAGAGGAGCTGTTGTTCGTTTTGACAAAAAGCGGTCACATTTTTGGTTGAGTCAAAAATTAAAAGACTTTTGTACAAATTTGAAGCCATTGTTCTTGACAGTGCAGGGTTGAATATCAACCTAAATCATCCCAAATACATATTAAAAACCCTACTAAAGTGTCCAGGCTTACCTCATCGAAGTTGTCAGGGTTTAGATCGAGAACAGCTCCCTCAGAGAGGGATAAAAAAGAAAAAAGTACGAAGACCAAAGAACAAAACCCAACGCGTGCAGACATCTTGAAGAATGAAGAAAGAAGGGGGGAAGAGGGTGAGGCACTGGGAACTAGTACAGTACACCGCTGGATGGTAGGGCTGCAGGCTCTAAAGGTACGCGTGGCGCGTTTATATACGGACAAGATAGAAATGAAAAGGGAAAAAAATCCTAATCTTCAGGTATCTTTCCCCTCGCCTTAAGAAAACGAGAAAAAGGAATTGGTCCTTTGCTTTCTGCGGCAAAGTGAGAAATTGGACAGCGCCTAGTAGAGGACAGTATCGGAAGCTTTCCAATATGCGGTATATATTATGGACCTTCAAGCTATTGTCATGGGGAAAAATGGTTGTTTCAGCCGCGTAAATTTATTCTCAAGCACTTGAATGCGAGGCTACGTGGTGGAATCTATTGTGTGAAAAAGGCCCATATAGTTCACATCTATAGCTAGGGTTGAAGAAGCTGTTTGACTGGAATAAAAAAATGAGATCCCCGTAGCCTCCCATCCAAGTTTCGAGGGTTTAAACAAAAGTTCTTTATTCTGATTGTAATAAAAATTGCGCCGTGTGATCAAAGTCCATCGCGCTTAAGGGAAACTCTTCAATTTTTTCATATAAGMACACCAGCAACAATAAAAAAAAACCTTTAAAGAAAACCATGAAGAGTTTCTGATTTCCCAGAACGTTGTCTTTATTTTCAAACGCTAATAACACTTTTGTCTTATTTACATTGTTACACTCTCAAGTTGTTGTTTTAAATGATAATAAAACATACTTAAACTGTATAATAAAAAAACTAAATTTTAACAATTGAACTTGTTGGTCAGAGCTCTTCCACAAGGTAGCAATGAGCGTAGCATCATAGCATTTCTTTTCTAATATTAAGGATTGTACGTTGGTGTAATTATTCCTGGTTTCCAGTTGAGAATGAAAATCTACTTTCACTTCCATGGTTGAGAGGATACGCTAAAAGAAAAAACACAACTCAAGACATCAATTGTATATCAATTGGAATTTTAGTGTGTTAAGTTTTACGAAGAATGACATCAGGAGAACTCGGAGAAAATCCTTGAAGCAAGGAAGAAATCAAGAGAAAATAAATTAGCTTATTTTCTCTTAATTAGAGAAACGTAACGAAGGTCCGTTGTGCCAAGTCCAAGGATTAAACCCGAGACCCAGGAACCAGTTGATAGTATACCAGAGGTTTTATCCCTTCCTTGATTGCCAAACATTTTTGCCTTGCGTGAAACAGATTTCTTCGAACATAAAACTGCGCTTTTGCGGTAGAAATAAATGTGATGTATCAGCTAGCCAAGTTGTTGGAGCTGGTAGCAGGTTTGTTTCTTACCTTATTAATGGGTGAGTACTTCTATAACGACTACTGTAAATTACAAATTAAAGAAAAAAAGATATTATTTTTTGCTTTATACATTTGCGGTTTAAGTCAGGTTTTGATTCGCTTAACAATACCCTTACTTAGCTCGTATGATACAGGGTCTTAATGGTGTGGGGCCTTCGTCATATGGATGCAATCAGTCGAGCAGGATTTTAAGGGAGGTTAGGGGAGTGGAGGAAAAGTTGTGCAAAAAGACTTTTCGCAGTGTGAAGTTTGAGCATGCATTCACTAGGAAGTTTATCTGTGCGCGCCCTGCATGGTTCGCTCTGGTGATCGGAACCAAATTCAACAAGACTGCTATGTAAACTGGCGTTAATCAAATACTTACTAGATAGTAGCTGGGATAGGCCTTTGACCACGCAAATCTACAAAGGGTTCTTGTCTTAATGAGTACTATATCGAGAAAAAAATACTATTAGGGAGCTGCATAACTATATAACCCTGTATATGATTACTGTTATGAATGTCGCGTTCTGATTGCTTTATGAGAGCACATTGTACGCGCGCGCACTTTCCGTTGCATAATTCCTATCTAAAACAACGGTTATTGTAATTTGTATTTTATAAAAGAAATAAAAAAACTTGCTTGCTGTGCTGTGTGCTGTTATAAAGCACTTGGAGATTGGCAGAACACTCGAGAAGTGTCCAGAAGCACTCCGCTACGCGTCGTGCTTCTCCTAACACTTCTCTCATGTTCTGCCAACCCCCGCGTGCTTTATGACTGCACACAGCACGTGCGCGCGTTTTCTATTTCTTCAGTATRAGGCGGACGTAAAAGACCCACTGAAGATGCTGGTGACGACCATCCTCAGTGCCCGTGCTAATACTACAGGGCCTACAATAATTGGCTATGTATGCTGTTGTGGTGTCCCTACCCTCACAGGAAAAAAATCATAAATTATGAATTATATTTTGCCCTCCACATCAGAAATAATAGGGTTTAACGAGTTTTCCGTTAGTAAACTCCCGTCTTCATATAATGTTGACCCGCAATAAGTCGCACTCGCTAACTCAAAAAGATATTCYCTTCAGTTCATTAGTGTGAGAATAGAGCGGGCTATAACAGCAAAGAGAGACTCAGATAAGTCCACATAAAAAATGAGTTATGCTTTAAGAGTCTTACCCTCCAGCCTCCTGATAACCTTGGTGCAAGATATCTAGCTGCGTATCCATTAAATCTCATCTCTTGTGCGCTTTTTGCCAGATAAGCTTCGGGCATGTACGTGTAAGCCTCTCTAGGATCTGGTAAATAATATACAAATTCTTCGTTAATCTATCCTATAGATTTCAACAATAACACCTGGGGTCATTCTTGAGCTCAACAGAAAAAAAAAAAAGAGAAAAAGGAAATAATTTGCTGAATTAAATTATTCAGTTTTCAGCACAAACTGAGTAATGCTAGATTGACAATATATACAAATGTCCGAATGTTTGTTGAATGAGTTGACGGTAGCTTTTAATGTATATATCTGCCGTATATGAGGATTCAGTTCTTCCCTGGCAGCACCCTTTTTGCAACTTTTTTCTATTATCATTTGTTTGCAAATAAAGTTATTATAAATAAATATCTGTATATAGAGAGTTATCGGTTATCATCTGGGTGGGAATCATACGGTACTGACTTACAGCACGTACAGAGTACGAAGTGTCATAACATTTTAATGGCTTCCCATTATCTTCCAAAAAATCATCTAATCACAACGCGCAACAACGGTTACGGCAAGGTGTCTATAATGTCCCCATGGGTTATTCAAGCAAGTGCGCAAAAAATGGTACTATCGCTTCAATGCATGTGGGGTTCTTAGTGCGCTACATCTTTGCGCAGTGAATATAAAAGTGAGTTTCCCTCTTCCATAAAGTTTTACCATAGTTAATTATGATATAACTAGCATAATTTTGCATAAAGATTTTAACGTGGGAAAGGAAATCATTAATTTTCGTCCTGTTTTTCGCTTTGGCATCGTGTAATGTATATGCGCACTTCATGGGTCGCACGCGCAAGCCGCACAACTCACCGTAACGCGCTGACGGGTGTCCTGTACTGGTTCTGTATTCCATTTCTTCTTGAAAATTTCTTTCGTCTTCATTTTGTTTTAAAAACTCTGCCGTCCCACTAAAAATGGTCGATATTATGTCATCAGCAATGAATAAAACGAATATTGTTTTGTTGGTCAAATACACAGAGGAAAAACTGATTTGGTGAAATAAAACAGGGCTYGAGTTGAATCCTCTATGTTTCTCAAACAAAACACGTAAGACGAAAAGAAGTAGAAAAGTTTTTCTCTTGGAGAAACACGGAGGGAAAACATGGTTATATAAAAAAAGTTTTTATGAAACAACACATGGAGCTCAGTTGGTTATCAAACGAAAAGCACACACACAAACTACGGGAAGACAGAAAAACGTTTTGTTTCGCAACTTAAGGTCTTTTTGTCATATAATCCAGGCTAAACCAAGGGATCAGTTCAAAAATGAACTATAATCTGTAAACAAGAAGCCTAAGAAGGGTAAACAAACAAAAGCTTCAAGCAATATCTCTAGAATTAGACAAAAAACGAGTATACGAAATGTTTAGGGCATGCTTCACTTCATGCATGCGAAGTTGATAGAAGAAAAAAAGTGATTTTGTTTAGATAACTGGCTTTTGTTCAGGTCTTCGGAATTGTCTTTACAGTGAACTTATCGCGAAATGAAAGCACGGATTAGAACCATAGTACTAAAGGAATTATCTAAATTAAACTTTCAACCCATTTTCATCAGACGTAATCTTACTGGAGTTGGATAACTTGGTTTTCAATCCGATGGACTTCATTTAATTCTATTTTTTCATATCATGGAATAGATTCAAAATTCGTAGACTAGTGCTAGGTTTTCGCCTAGTTCTGGTTCTCTTCAAATGATTTTTAATCTTTCTCATGCAAGTACACGGACTTGAGCTCGCAACTCTCAGATCACGAAAACGTTTAATCAAACTTACCCTGTCTCGAGTGGGTTATATCCTCTAGACTGAAGATTTCGTCCTGTTTCTGTAATTCTCTGTAATTAAAATAACACAGGAAACACACGTAAGAGAAAGATTACACGGTTGCTACAACGTCTCCCTAGTGATGAAGTAACTTACAGTTCCAGACAAGGGCCTCTCTGCCGGCTTGAATAAAGTTATAGAGGCGCTCTTGAAATCATCTGCAAAGGTAGCGAAAGAAAGAAATATTATGAGACAAATTTCGTAATCTTTGAGGATATTTTAGGATGGATTTAAGGAATTTACTTCTAATAAGCGGCGTCGTTGTGCGCGAGTGTTCGTCGGGTAGTTTATGAGCAGCTGTGTCCATATCCATTCTTCTGAAGCTTGGAAGCATCGGATGATAAAGTCCTTCCTTGACAGAAGCTAACTTCTTCATATTGTAGGTATAAAGCGGGAAGGTTTCTGTTCTAGTTGTCATTATTTTTCATTCAGACGGACTCAAGTTTGTGCAGTAACTAAGGCAAAAAAAGCTATGGATGCCGAGCTATTTGTTGTCGTTTGTTGGCACCTGGGAAAACAAAGGTTGCCACTTCAATGGCTTAGTAATTGAATTCTAGCCAATCGTGAGCGCGCTTCCACTGTGAGGTAATCAATTAAAGCTGACACTAGGATGGCTTTCCTCCCCTGATTGATGATTTTTTATTACAAGATCATTCGATAGTACTGTTGTGGTCCAGACACTCGTATCTTATTGCGTCTGAATTTTGTTATCGAAATGACCCCAAATTTTTCATACTTTTTATAAGGAAAATAAAAACACTTTTGAAATACCGCAAAAACAAAAAAAACAAAAAAAACAAAACAAACAAACAAACAAACAAACAAAAAACTTTCTTATCACTGCAAAAACAATGTCTTTTCCTAAACAGTTATTAGGCTTATTAACATAACAAACACGGGTTTTTTATATCGAAAATTGGAAGAAAAATGATTTCTTAGATAGCCACTTAAAGGGCTTCCTGACTCTCAATTTGCTTCATCCCGTTCTAGTTCTAGGGTCAGACTGATAAAGGCGAAACCAAAAGCAGACACTGAAACCTACGTAGCAGTGCTACCTTTTTTTGGAAATGGTAAAGGTAGTATTGGATTCAATGTGCAGTCCAGGTTTTTTTATTGGATGTAAAAATAAAAGCAAATTGCATATTTTGAAAGTCAAATAAAAAAAAAACCATAACTGATCTATGCATCAAAGGTTTGTTTTTGGAAATGGTATTGCTGGCATTTCTTATCCATGATAATGAAACAAAACAAAATGCCTAAGTTTTCTATCTTCTGGTCCTTATAGATATCTTTTTTTTWAAATTATCTATCTAGCTCTCCCTAATGTGTCAATCTTTGTATAGTTAATTTTAACTACCATCTATGATGATAAATGTTGTGGTTGATGTTCTTAACCTGTAAGGTGAACAAAAACAAAGTGACACTGTTCACTGTCGGAAAAAGTCGTTGGAAAATCTTTAATTGGAATTTAATCACTTGATTATATCGCAACTGAATTTTTACTTCATAAAGTTGAAATGACATAATTATTTCATTAAGTAAATGTAAAAAAATATTTTGAAGCACACTGAGTTAGTACGGTGCTTTTTTTCATATWTATTTTTTCTGTTGATGTTTTCTTGCAATATATACCAGAACTCATTAAACTGACTGACGTGAGGGACTATGAAGGGACTACTTGAAACTTGACTGTGTCATTAATTAATATTAGAAAGTATTTTTTAGAACATCGATTATAAATTGAAGTCATGATATTGAAATGAATAAAAGAATATTCCAATTGGGTAGATTCAAACTAGTTAGCCAAAAGAAATAGACTTGCTCGATTCAAAGTTAGGGTTATTTTCAGTGCACCATGCTACCTTTATCACTGAATGAGAATCATGGCTGTACACTTGTAAACTCTAATTAATAAAGGAAATACCTGCACTTCTTGAAGTAGAAGTCCTAGAATGCTCAATCGGCAGTTTCCTTAAAAAACTATCCATATCCATTCTACGGTACGTCGGTGGTTTTGGATGCATCATGCCTTGTTTCAAAGCCACCAACATTCGTCGAGGAGGCTCGTAGTTATAATCTGTTCCATGCGGACGAACGGGGCCATGCTTACTGAAGCGCTGTCCTTGTCTATCGTAAGGACGGTTACCAAATGGCTTGTCCATGCGAGACATTCTTATCGAAAAATTCTAGATTTAGTTCTGAAAGAAACCGCGTATATGAATTTGTGTATGCTTCTCGTCTGCTGTAACCATGGTGGACAATAGGTCTTGACCTTATTGTTGCTATTGAATGTATGGGATTACCGGCAATTATGGCTTTCAAGTTGGATAATCCTAAGTTTGTTTAACATTCAATTGATAAAATGACAAACGTTTTGCCGTTTCTTTTTTTTCCCTTTCGAATATGAAGCATTTACTTTACTGTTAACAGGCCGATTTTCATACAGCTGCGGAATTCGCGGGAAACAATTTGAAGCTAAAAAATAATTGCATGAAGACGTTCTATGACGCTGAAGAAAATCTTGTGCTTATGGAAGGATGTAATACGCATTCATAATGACTTATAAAATATTCCCAGACAAGTTTGCCGGCAACATCTCATTCCAGATCGCCTGTTTGGCTTCTCAAGCTCTCCAATGGTTTATCTGGCTAAGATAGTGAAATTTCATGTGTAAATGTTGTTAAGGCGCAACCCAGAGAATGTAGACTGGTGGACTAAGCATATTGATTACGAGCTGCATTTCGCCATACTTCGCAAAAATGGAGCATAGGTCAATAACTAAGTCCTAGATGGCTATATTTACGCAATGCAGATATAATCTAGCTGAACGATGATGACATTATCACCACCATCACCACAACCGCGCGCAACCTGACATCTTTGTTTTGCGGCGGACGGTCTACTTTCTCTCATGTTTCCGACTTGGTCCTTGGTTACGAAATGGACCAATATGTACATTTAGTGCTCTTGACTTTAACAAATCACTTACAGCACCAAAGAGGATAAGAATATCATTGTCAGTTAACAGAAAAATTTCCTTTGGCGAAAAAGAAGTTTACTAATTGCTCCTGCTTGACGACTCGGTAAATTGCGCAGCAGATCTAGAGTACATRTAAACTGGCTGGGCCACTTTTCAACAAACTCAGTTCATGAAGTCATTATTTTTTACCTTTTGTGAGTCGAGAGATGAAACGGGAATGCTCGTCAGGAAGTCTCTTCAAAACCTCATCCATATCCATCCTCCTCAGTGAAGGTAACTTAGGATTGTACAGTGTTTCCTTGACTGCAGTCAGTCGCTTGTTATTGGATGAGCCAGATGCAGGGTAGTCTTTAGGGTAGACATTGAGTGTTTTCTTACAGGATGTGGTACAAGGCTTACCCCAAAGAGTATAGTACTTAGATGGTGCCATGACAGCAAAGTCTACAGTTTGTTTGGAAGCTATCGTCGTACTAGCTTGTAGCCATGGAACCAAAGTTCATCTATATTCTCATTTACTCTTTTCTTAAACTTTATAAATAATAAATGATTAGCGATTTTCGGGACCCTCAATTTTCCATACGTGCTAATTTACAGCAGCGATGAATAGATAGTATTAAAGTAAACGCATTGCGCCAGACGGTGTTAAATTAAACTGGGTACTTTTACCGACAAAGGGTCCCAATATTTGACGCAACATTTAACCAACATTGTAGCCAATAAGTACCCAAGCTTGACATACATACGGTCCAAATTTAACATTGATCTCAACAAATGTTGGCTAAATGTTAAGTAAAATGATGGGTACGTTGGTCAGGGCCTTAATGTCCAACAGATTATAGACGAGGCCACTTAAAAAGTTAAGGCGTCAACAACCTGCTAATGAGTCAGTTATGTAAGATGTACTAATTTTAAGTTTAATTTACTTTTCGTCCGGCACTGTTCATTGATACCGCAAAGACCAGCTATATTTTTGTACGCATGCACTCTGGGCCCGGTTGTACGAAGCCTGGATRGCGCGATCCGGCGGATAAATCCTTATCCAGTGGATAAATGTATTGGATAACAGCATCGACTTATCCACTGGATAAGGATTTATCCGCCGGATCGCGCTATCCAGGCTTCGTACAACTGGGCCCAGTACTCTTTTTCAAAGTTATTTTGCTTGAAGGTAAGTAAGGTTATATAGAGAGGTCAGAACTGTTGCGCGAAATCACCAAGGATCGAACCAAAGACTTCATTCTAAGAAGACTCAAGCACTGGCCAACTTTAAAAAATTTTGTTATCTTATATTAGATTAGCGACAGTCACACTTGCATGTTCCATCAGTTGCRATGCAATCTAGCTACTCTTGCTCATAATCGATACTTTTAAATTTCGTGCAGTTAGCTGATTAGATTGGTGCTACTTGTATAACTTGGTAAAATCCTTCTAATACCAGCCACATGATGCCCCATAATRGACCTTTTCCGCGCATCTAGACGAACAAGGTTCATTCTGGCCTAGCTTTGATCCTATACCACCCCTGCAATATCACATAGTTTAATTTGTGGTACTTCACTAAATGTAAAATTGAATTGTATGAAACAGCACCATTTTTATTTGAAGTAAGTTTTTGAAACATTATACTGGATTCAACGTCACTCACAGAGATAATTTATTCATCTCACACAAACTTTGAACCGACTTGGCGAGCTTGAAGTCAAACATGCGAAAACGTGCGTTTTGTTTCTCAACTAGTTCAAACATGGCTCAGAAAAGTAGAATTAGTGAAATATGAATTGAAGAAATAAATTACGATTTCCTAAGAGAGAAAAATCTATTTTAAACCACCCATAACCTCATCCTGAAGCATGAATGGGAGGAAATGTGGGGAAAATCTATTGCTCCATTCAAGATGGCTTATGCGCAAGTGATTATTGTTTTGACCTTGTTGTTTTCAGTCAGTGAATAGGCTATGGATTGTGACGGAACTGTTTATTAGTAATGGCGTTTTTTCTTATGGTCATTTTATCGAGATATTGATCATGACTGCATTACAGGATAAGACATTCAAGCATCACAAATTCGTAACGAGCTAACGTATATTCATCAATGTTAAACTGAACCTTTAACTACACGTTAAGGATCGTTCGAAGATGAAATAGTTGGGCTATATTCACTATAATTATGATTATCAATCGCTAAAAATAGAATTATTTTACAGTGTTTTGTAAACATCTTTTACGATAATAAAACAAATAGCCTAATACATATTAAAACATCATATTGATTTTTACCATTATCACCGAGGGGCAAGGGAACTTGTAGTCAATGAGATATCGTACCCCGGAAGTGATATACAAAACCGGAAGTGGAAGCAAAACAACCGGAAGTGATTATGACTCACTCCCAGTCTGCAAATAGGAAATGAGAGTACAATGGAAAGAAGCATAAGAGAGAATTTCACCTGTTCGCATGCATTGCTAATTGAGCATTGATATTACGCAAAATACTTGGAGGGTTTGAAAATTGTTAAAAAGTAGCAGATACTTGTTCCTATTTAAAAGAATGCTATTAGCCTTAGGTTGAATTCAAAAATTAAAAATTGGGATTTCGTCGTTTTTTTWAATATAGATTTTGAATTATAAAATGAAGCAAAAGTATGAAATATCATTTTAAAAAATTTTAAATATAATAGCCTATCTTTGCATGATCTGCGGAACAAGTGCGCGCTTTATTTTGATTTTAATTTTTTCATCTAGAAGATTAATTACCTATACATTTAATTTAAATTCCAGTGAAATCCACTCTTACAGATAACGTGCGCACGTGAACTGCACGTGATTAATGTGCCTACCGCACGTGCCTACCATGCTTCGTCTGTAAGTTGAAGTCGAACCTTTAGGTGTCGACAGCTCTAAGCATGACTTACATGCATCTATATCCTATACTTTTTGGGCTCTACTTGATCACAGCTTGTAGTCATAGTAACCAAGATCACGTTAACTGTATCCATAGCAACGACTACGCTACTGTGATTACCATAACCTCCCTCCTTGTTGAAAGCTCTCGTCTAAACTAATGTAGAGTATAGTAAAAACTCGGGGTGGTGTTATTAACCATTGAATAGGTCCTGTACTTCATAGTGATTACGAGGATCCCCTTCCTCGTACTGTTGTCCTGACTGCGTGCTGCCTTGTGACCATGGCATCGTCTTGCGTCCATATCCAGGTAATTCATGTTGACGGAGTTGTCGCTGAGGATTCCCTAGACTCTGGCCATACTGGACTATCTCTTGACCTGAGGGAAAATAACAAATGCATTAGAAGCAATTCAATGTTTCATCACTACAAGTGGTCTATGGTGGATTTAGGGAATTGAAGACCACTGTGCTGCAAGGGATAAACTTTTTCTAAAGCCCCCCTGTTTTAGGGCATCTTATTTAGGGGCAATTTATTTTAAAATATACCTTGCTGTTGTGATGTTGGGCCAGGGCTTGGTGCTGCTCGCTCAGCAATGGCATCGAGAAGATCCTACACAAGCATCAAAATGGGTTAGATTTTTTTGACAATAAAATGTTGGCATTAGTTTTTTGGTTAATGGATTTAGTTTGAATCTCACTAACCGGAGGAAGGYTTTGTTGAGTGAACATCTAAAATAATTGCAAAGAAGAAATTAAATTATATTGCGACAGGTTTTATAAACCTTTCATTATTCATCGGAGGTTTTATAATTCAAATTATTATTCAATAATAATGGACAGAGCATGGGAAAAGCTGTTCTTAATCTTAAAACTATTAAAAGTTGTTCTTAATTAAAATCAAAACTTACCTGTTGGGATGCTAAGTTAGAGAGACCTTCTGAAGAGTTGAGAATCTAACAAAAAACAAAAACAACATTGAACAACAGTTATTACAAAGTCCCTTAAATTTCCCCCCATTTCTGACCACACCATTCTCTTGAGTATTAATGCTTTGTTTAACAGTTCAAAATGCGAAAACACGTGAATATGAATACATATTGAATGAAGAATCTTATTCTCAAGGGAATGACACATGTCCAAGCCAAAAAGGTCTATAGATGACTGGTCCCCTTGCATGTGACGTCAAAGCAGCTCAATTTGGAGGAAAAAACAAAAGAATTTCATTCTCTCGAGAAATATTGTCATGTCCTCTCAATTGAGCTGCATTCTGACATGCTGTAAGGGGTCTGTTGCAATATATTATCACTGACAGACTCACCTCACTGAACCCTTGTACATCCATGAAATTCTGCTGGTTGGCCAAAACTTGCTGCAGTGAATCAAGATTTGATGAGATGTAATCAATGTGCTCTCCCAAAAAGTTACGACTGTTGAGTAAGAAGTAGAAAAGTTATGAATATAAAAAACAAATATATATGTTCCACAATAAGTATTTCTGTTGATTTATGGTAGAGGGCTTTGATGGAACTCATGTTGCTTGACAAAATGAAATATAGACAGAATAAAGAATAGCACTTTTGATCTGTGAGTCAGTGGTACCTTCATTTAGGTCAGCCTAGAGGTTGTTTCAGGGTTCAATCTGGGAGTTAGCCATGCCCTGACTTGGATCAGCCCAGAGGTTGTTTCAGGGTTTGATCTATGAGTTAGTGATACCCTTACGTAGATCAGCACAATATTTTTTTCAGGGTCTTGATAAAGGTTTTTATCTGAACGTTTGTGTCATACCTATCCAAGATATCCTCCTCAGAGAACTGCCGTATCGGCCCTGTTCCTCTGCGTGCAGAAGACTGTTGTTCAGAATACTGTCCAGGTTCCATGATGTGTGATGGATGGATGATAGATGGCTGTTGCTGTTGTTGCTGGTGTTCTTCTGGGAAGGTGACAACACCGGTGGTATAGGCTGGCGGCTGGGAGCCTGAACTGTGAGAATAGCTTGAAGGTCCTGTGCAAATAAAATATTTGTTACTATCTGTATCAAAGAATTAGAAAAATGAACTGAGAAAGGTCTTATCCAAATATGATTATCTTATGATAAAATGGTCCAAAGCAAGACTTGGAAATGCCCCAAAAAAGCATTCACAGGGTTTAACCAATAGTCAGCCTATGCTTCTTTGTGCATTGGCTAACAGTTGGTCAATCTCGTACCAACACAAGTAGGCTGGTCTCAAAGTACACAATTACCAGATGGAATGTAAGAGTTGTGACAATGAAATGATAATGATGGTGATAACGAAAAATAGCCATATTACCTGATGAATGGATCATTTGTGACCCTGGGGAATATCCAAAGCTTGAAGCTAAGAGAGATAACAGTAAATATCTAACTTATTCTCTTACTACAATCTATAATGAACATGACAAGGGCAGCATGGGTGGCGTTCGTGGCTAACGCATCGTCTTTCACTGCTGTGAGTCCAACGAGTCACAGGTTCGAGCCCTGCGGTCGCCACATGTGAACATGTGAGTTTGTTTGATGTGTTGTTCTCTTCTATGCTATGAGGGTTTTCTTTGGGTTCTCCGGTTTCCTCCCTCCGTAAAAATCAACATGTGCGTTGAGATTTGTGTGTATAAAATATTCGACTGTAGTAAGGAGTGTGTATGGAAGATACACAGCCCCACAAGCTCTTAGCTTTAATGCCTACCGTGTATAAATATAAAAAATAAAAATAAAAAAGATTTATGACATGATGATGGTGAAAATGGTAATGATAATAACAACATTTATGATACTCCAACATTTGGCCAGCCTACTTGTCTGAGAGGCCCATGTGTGACATCATGCCGAAAAGCAAAGAGATTATCCTGGGGACAAGGCTAAGACTATTTTATTCTAGTCTATATTTATTTTATTCTATTTCATCTTAAATAGGATTTTGATTCAGTTATATTTGAACATGACCACATCAAGCTTTATATGACTATAATAGTCATATTATGTGCATATGCTTTTATTAAAATTATCATCATCATCATCATCATCATCATCATTTTTTGCTATTATTAAGTAACTAAGATATAATGCGTGCTCTGATTGGTCAATTACCGTTTCATATAACTCAACATAGATTGTGAGGAAATGGCGTCAGCAACGCAAGCGATGTTTTGTTTGTTTCATATGTTTTTTATTATTTCTTTTGAGTTAATCGTTAGTTATATCTTAGTTATTTTATAAAAGAGATAAAAATCTCCCCTGGCTTTGCTATGTTGAGTTATACAAGCACTTGGAAAATTGTGTGCGCCCTCAAGAAGTGCCGAGAAGCACTCACCTATGTCTCGTGCCTCTACTAGCCCTTCTCTCTGACTCACGCTATTTCCCGCATGCTCGTATGACTCAACATAGCATGCACGCTCGTTTTCTATCTCTTCATTACATAATGATAATGGCAATAATATTGAAAATGACAATTAATGGATGATGTTCAGATGGCATACTGACAATTGCACTTACCTTGTGTTGACACTGGGCTAGTTACTGTTGGTTGGGAAGCAGTGTTCATCTTTTTATTGTCTCTTAATACAATAACTGGCCGCTGAGAAGACATGACTCTATTTCTAATGGCCTCGTCATCATCTGGTAAGGCAGTGATTAATGGACCACTAGATGCTGCATGGAGCAATGAAACAAATGTCAATAATTATTGGTACTATTATAAATGGTATATTAGGATTGGCTAGAATAGAGCTATTAGTAAAACCATCTGTGAGTAGCTGTGCCCTGCCACAGAACACCCCAGAATCAATAAAATTTGAAGTTTTTTTGATAACTCATTAGTTAAAGTAATGGTAATTGCAATTTAGAAGTATTCACCCTTTTCCCCAATAATTTTTTCTTCTACTACTTAAATCAATGGGACATTTGCATAATGACGTCATTTTACTACCACTTTCAAATGCTTTAATTTTCTTTCTTATTCAAAATTGTATTGCCTTATGAGAATAGAAGAACAGTTGGTGCTAATTAACTGAACAAAATAAAGTGTGCTAGGGATTCTGGTAGTTGTATAAGAGTCCTATAAAACACATTCAACTTACATTGCATTTCATTTGGTGTGTTGGACACATCAGAAATCGTCAAAGACTGTGTATTGGACTGCAAAAAATAGTTACAACTTTAAGTTAGAATACTCTAAATAAATAACAAAGTGTAGACAGTAAAAGCAAGGGAATGTTCTCACACTTCAGACCAGAAGCTATTCTATTTTGTATTATTTCTTTGTTTAGCAGTTTGCACATAAGAAGACATAAAACAACTCAAACGAAGAATCTTATTCTCAAGAGAATGACTCATGGTCTGAAATGGAAAAAAACATTGTCATATATAAAAAGGACAATTGGAAACATTATCAAAACTGGTAACATACTCCAGGTACGGCTGAACCATAACCATGAGATGTTGAAGTGCTTGTAGCAGTGTGTGAATCCATAGAGTACTCTTGTCTAGCTCTCTTGGCTGCTTGTTCTTGTTCAGAGCTATCTTGTAGCATCAACCTAATGGAAAATATATTGCCATCAGCATGGGGAAATCTCATGCAAAAATATATGGCCAATAGTATAAAAGTAGTGAGGTCAAACAAAATAATGGAAAATCGGGGATTTACTAGATTGATTGATTGAGATTGATGAGATTGTTAGAAAGCATGTAGGTTTACTGTGGAATCCTAGATTAAGAAACAGTCAAGAAAAATCTACCAAATCTACTTTTTTCATATCAAGTAAGGACTGTTTTTATTAAATGAAGAACGACAAAGCTTAGAATTTTGGGAATGAAACCCTGAATAAACAGAACCTAAGGCAATAGGAAAAAGTCTCTTTCAAGCCACATTTACTCAGTTTATTTTATTCATTTTGCAACTGCTAAAGTCAAGGTACAAATCACTATAAATGACAAGCCATATTGTGACTTAAATGAGTCCAAAGGAGGGTTCAGGTTTTCATAAATTTTTATCTGAATGGTTTGAGCCATGATTTCTAATTGTTATTGGTAAAAACAAGAGAGCTGAACATCAAAATTATCATTTGCAATGTCTGCCTGATTTCCTTTTTCTATTTCAGATCCTTTAATCAGTACAGCAATAGTCTATACATAGGAGGGTTTAATTTACTAACCTTTTCCTATTGGCTAGTCGGGCTTCATTTTGGTAGACAAGTCTCATTAAGAACTGAAACAGCTGTACATCAATAAAAACAAACAAACTATTTAGTTATCTATCTATTTTTAGATGTTTTTGTTTGTTTGTTTGTCAGGGGCTGTAAGTAAAACTGCAATAGGTTATTGTGAAAAAGAGCTAAAATAGAATTGGAAATTAATTTATCTTTACAGGAAGCTTGAGAAATTTGTTACAGAGAACAGGGTATGAATATGTTTCAAGAAGATTATGTATGTGTTGTTCTGGGAAATATCCATACCCCAAACATGGAGAAAATTGGGAATTCTGAAAGGGAGGGGGGTCAGGGAAAGAACAAAATTACAGGAGAAGAAAATTGGAAGCTCCTGGGAGTAGGGGGTCATCTTAAAAATTCCCTCCAGGGTGGGGGTGTGGATATTTTCTGAAACTACGCATTACATAACCTCAGCTGTATATCAATAAAGTTAGATTATATGAAGGGAATAAAAGGACAAGAATATAGTATTGACAATGAAATATATAACCTACAGAAACCAGAATACTGTAAATTTATAAACTTTTGTATTCTTGCTTGTTTGAAAGACTGACATTTTGAGAAGTCCTCTTACAATAATTAAACCAAAATCCCTAGACCCAATTTAAGTAAATAGCATAAATTGAATGTTATCCTAACATCTCAGAAAATCGTTGCACAATGAGAAATATTGAATGTTCTCTTATTTAACCAAGCTGTTAGAAAATAACGTTTTCTTACCCGGTTAACCACATGTTGCTGTCTTGAATGTTTGGTACGTAGATCTACTAGTTCCCTCCACAATGTCTCATTTTCCCTGAACAATGGAAAGGTTGTAATTTAGATATTTGTCTATGGCTAAGAAACACTAAAGAGCTGGGAATATTTTTATTTCCATAGTGAATAATATTTAATATTTGGTACATCTATAGAGGTGTTCTCCTTGATGTAGAGGTTTCCTTAATATAGAGGGGTCCATAACATAGAGTTGTCGGTAATATACTGCCATTAGGAGTGTCTGTAATATACGAGTGGTGATAACTAGTAGAGTACTAGCATAGTCTGTGTCGGTGTTTCTGAATTAAACTGTGGTACTTCAACGAAAGACTAACGTTCGAAACGTCAGTTTCACAAAGCTTTGTACGGTGATCCAATTTATCTACAAGTTCCTACTGTCTGTAATATAGAGGTGTCTGTAATAAAGAGGTGAAATTATAAAAAATATGAAAAAATAAAAACCAACCTCTTCATCTGTTCAAGTTTTGCAGTCATTTCATCCTGTTTTCCCTTCATGTCCTGCACGTCATTCAGAACCTTAGTGACATCTTCATTCTTGAGCTTCCTTTCATCTGGTGTGGCCTGGGAATGCAAAATAAAATACATTATTTCCTTTCTAGTCTGATATCTTAAGCATGGATTTTTTTTTWAATAATTTGACTTGATTGTTATATTATGCTAGCATAGCAAATGCTATAGCTACTTCTACTAAATGTTCTGCATTACTTTTGAATATAAGAAATTAGTTTAATCATAATTGTGAGTATTTAGCATTGTTACATACAGTGTATGTTAAATTTGTAAAATCCTTTGTCAAAAAGTGGGCTATAGCCTCCTGGCTTCTACGTCCCAGATGCAGTGTGTATATAATATACAGTCATATACATAATATATAGTATGCAAGTCAATCTGGATGGATTTCTTTACCAGAAAATCTAGCCTTTTCTAATCAGGGATTAAATCTAAACTTTTATTTCCCATCAACAATTCTTCAAGGTAAGAATTGGTCTTTTATCTCCAATAATTCTACACAGTTTTTATCCATCTATTTTCTATACATTTATATATTCCATGCTTCAGTGTGCTACAGACAGATAACAAACAAAAGGGTGAGGTCATAGTTATCAATATATATAGAGAATCTATCTAGCACATGCAGACTGCTGTGACCATCATTGTCATCATCCCACATGTCTAAGAACTTTTCAGCAGGTGCTTCAAGTCATTTACACAAATACTTTGTGAACAGGGGGGAGGGGGGTTGAAACTTAGTTCCCCATCAGAAAAATAAGTTCATTCCTTTTATTAAATAAAAATACATTTAAAGTTTCAAATGAATTATTATGACCACATAACCACCCACGTACATATGATTAATCCCTAAAGYATCTCTTAATTTGAATTGCTATAAACCCTTAATATAAGTATTAACTTTTAAAGGGTTGGGTCAGAAAATATGAAGGAATGGTGCAGCAAATATAACTACTAATAGAACATGTATTCAAGAGGAAGCAAGGGTTAAACAATACACACAATGCTGAAGCTTAACATTTTATTAGATTTTGTGAATATAGGGCAATTATGTGGCAGAAAGTTAAACCATCCCAGAAATTGACTCCAGTGACGTATAAATGCATGGGAATCAGCTTTACATCTCAATTTTACTTTTTATCAATTGGCTTCCACCAAATTTAATTATGAGAAAGAATAACTAGACAGGTTAAGTCATCCTACATGTATACAATGACTCATACCACCAGAGGCAATAACCACCCACGACAAAAATCAACCTCCAGAACGTCGTCATAAACCAACCCTGACACATCTGTCCCTGAGTTTATTTTGTAACTTTTTAATGGTATCCCCAAAGGTATGAATAATGATTATGGTAACATTTAAGTTCGGCAGATTTAATTTCCCCAAACAATTGTACGTGCAACATCGAATGCAACATTACACCTCAACATACTTACATAAAAAGCTATTACTATTATAATTTCRTTTCACTTTTGAATCCCCCTCATTTATGAAGGTTGCTTATGGCATCGTTACTGATTGGTAAATAGATTTAGTTGTCCATGACATGGACATCTAACAACATCAAGGCAACAAGCATACTCAGCTTGATTAGTCTAGCTATTCTGAGTAGCTATTACCAATACCTGTTTCAATATTATCTTGTAAACAAATTTATAGTAAAATTATGGTAATAAAGCTCAATCAATTTATACTCTACTCACATTACATGTGCAAACCCAACACAAATGCTCATCTACATTATATCACATTTTAATTATGAAAGACGATCATGACATTGTATAAGATCAATTGGCAGATATAACTGTCCATAACACATACAACACACATCAACAGCAGCAAGCATATCCACCCACGTCACATGTGCTAACCCAACACAAATGCACATCAACATTATATCTTTATTTCCACTTTTTATTTAAACCCTTAA